TAACACAGCAATTTCTTTCTTCTCAAAGTTTTTTTTTTATGGCAGGCTGATCATTGTTGTTGCCACTAAATGTGAAACAAATAACAGAATATATAATTATAGCCTTAATTTATGCCTTTGCAACGATATGCTTGTAAGACAATCATTAGCTGCATATCCGCTATATATGTAAAATCACAAAATCAATGACATGAAACCTTGCTAATTAGAAAACTTATAATAAAGGTGAAACGTTTGAATGAAGACTCAAGACGAGCCCGGGGTTCTAAGAATACACGTCATTCTAAAACAGACAACTTTTTGAAAATAAATTTCAGCTTTACAAAGTGTTTGTCTCTGTCAGTACAAGAACATGTTATTTGAAGCTGCTTTTTCGCATGCATACATTACAGTTCTTAGAGAAAGCTAAATGTCACCAGGCTAATTCCTAACAAAACAAGAGATTTTCATGCGTACTAACAAATACTTTTGTGTCCTTTTCTCGATATCAGAATAAAATATATAAGATACCATTGCACTTATCTAACTAGCATTATTTATATAGACCAGACCTTCGGAAGTTTTCCATAAAATAACATGTGATAACAGCAACATATAACATAACAGCAGGTAAATCAACAATTACTTATAAAGTATATGGTGCAAATGAAAACGGTTCCAGTATTTATCGGTCAACGGAAAAAGAATGCGGTGTTTGAATTCAGTGTTGTACGGTGCTCCAATATGCGAGTCAATAGGCCTTTTTTCAACATATATATTCCCTAAAATTTACAATACAAACACACAATTTTGTATGGAACTTGAATTTATGCCTAACCATAATGTATACACGAGCTCGTAAGGTCATAGAACAAATACATTGTTGTTTTAACACATGTTTTTGTGACAAGTACGAGTCATGTTGAGGTGGACACGATCTTTTGTAAACACTATTTCTTCGAAGTATGTAATTTTTGTGAATTGTGTTGTGCTAGATTAACGATAAATTGTTTCAAAAATTCGATGGAGTACTTTTAAAAACAATTGAAAATTTTTTGCAATCTCCAGCAGTTAGATATTTTGTAAGCTATTACCTGCAATTTGGTTATCCCGCCATTAATATTTTGTCCAGAAATATACGGTGTCTCGGTCAGAAGTATGATATTTTGACGTTGCGTGGAAAAGTTGTGGTAAACGCCCTATCCCCGTGAATTAGATGATAAAAAAAAATGAAAAAAAATGATATATACCTGCTATTATTTTCTCATAATAAAGAAAAGGCACAATCGGCCGTTCTCAGTTAGAATTTACACCCTTAGTTTTTACTTGTCGCCACCGTCTATCCTCATTATTGCAGGTTATTTGCTTGTAAATCTATGCTGGTTTAAGAAGGTAGATGTTACCTTAAATAACACACAATAACTCGCCATTTGATCATGAATAATTGTTTAATAATATTCACCTAAAGTTACGAAAATGACAGGTTCGTGATTGTCGCCGTCCGATTTATATAAAGTGAACGTGTATTTAGATGCTTTAATTGTATTGTTTTAATTTTCTTTGATGCCGTATTATTTTGGAACAATTCACGACTATAAATTTGTAAATTAGATCTCAGTAACAAAAACTCATAAAAAATGGTAAGGGATTAGTGTTTGTCGCCGGATAGTATGAAATGTTCGTTATCCTTTTAACCATATATTGCAAGTGAAGTGTTTTTATCATTGAAACAACATTAGATGTTCTTTTTTGTATTAATATCACAATATAATACTTTCATATTATCACCATGTTCATAGTGTGCACAATTTTTTTATTATTTATGTAGAATTTAACGTTGTGATGTGGTTTTGGGTTAAAAATTGAAAGGTTCGTTACCTGATTTAAAGGGTTTATGACTGCAATATTTCCCCCCAGCACATCAAATGTTCTAAGTTACGTAAAAATTAGTATTTTATGCCAAAAATGAAACATTTTGTTGCTGTTTAAACAACATTATTGAATCTGAAATATGCTGAGAAAAGGTTCGTGATGAAAGGTTCGTGCGGTGATATATTTTACTCGATGCCGCCTACACTATGCTTGTTTGTAAACGGCTGCGGATAACAAACATATGTACTATGATGTCATTTGGGTTGAAACGTTTCAACTCTTTCTATAATGGTTGCTTATTATTCGCAGCGCATGTTATAAACATGATCGAGAATTCCCATCAAAATCCTTTGGCAAGTGATTTTGATACTTTTCATGATTATTAAATTTCAAGAAAATTTTCTATTGCCTACCGAATCACAAACGATATTGTTTTCAAATGAAATGAGCGAATTTATATTTCTATGATGTTTATTAATAACATGTCGGATTACAAACAAGGAAAGGTTCGTGACCTTTAGTCACGAACCTTTCCTATGATAATTTATATGAATAAAATAATATATCTTATCCTGTAATGTATATAATATTATTTAAGAAAAATCTTGTGAGTATATCTTGTTTATACAGAAAAAGAACATCAAAAGAATGATTTTTACAAGACGTTACAACTGAAAAAGATGTATGTAAAAATTAAACCTCGTACTCGCCCGAAAAGCTTGTTTTATAAAAAAAAGCAAATAAACATTATATTTGTGTGATTATAAATTCAAAATATGAAGTGAATTTAAAACAATTCTATAAAGATAAATTATTATGATGAGGGAAACATGATAAAATAAACATTAAACTCCATGAAAGGTTCGTTGTCTTGGGCCACGAACCTTTCAAGTGAAAAACCGTCTTTTTCAAGCTAGACGAATGTAGCTTTGGAATTACTTTTAGTGCAGACAATTATGCTGAAGTCTAAACCTGAAAACATGCGGTAATTCAGTAAAATAATAAAACAAGAAGATTCGGAAAATTATCAAGAATATATTATTACAAGCATGAAAATATACGTTGCTTCTTCAATGTTGTGAAATTGTGATTAACCTTTTGAAAACTAATATTTGCGTGACATATTGCAATATCCAGTAGGCGAAGAAAAGATATGGCTGAACCCAAGGACACACCCTAAAAGGTGATGAAGCCAAGAGAAACAAGATATTCGCGGAGGTCATTTAAATAATTGGGAGGTGACAACATTGAATTGGTCAATTCTTTGTTTGTTGCAAAAAAGCAGTTTCAGTGAATAACGAACATATCATTAGAGAAATTGACTCCGATCCTATAATTTGATATGCTTGCGTTATATAGCTAATATTTTTTATACTAGCTGAATGTTTCTCTTCGTAAAAAGCTTATGTTTATTTGTTTTAAAAGTAAAATCTAGTATTATTACCATATTGACACGTTTTTATTGGATTGAAATAGTTGTTATAAATTGAAGAAAACATTTATAAATTGTTTGACTACAGATGCCATTCCAATTTAATATCATTTTTGAGAAATGAAAAGATTACAATAGATATCATTAGGTAATGAATATAATTGTATTCGAATGTCTATATCCGAACTTTATATCTGAATATAAATGTATCTATATTAGCATCAAAATTTTGATTTGACAATGAAAGGTTCGTTATTTTATATACCATATCTGAATTGAAAAAGTTAGTGAATATATGATTAAAATCTTAGCACCAGCAATGTATTTGATCTGGTAAACTGTTCTACTTCTTGATACATGTTTATCTTTTAATTAAGGTGTTGTTGTTTCAATTGTTTTAGACTGATATGCTGTATTGCTATGTCTTTAGTTACTATCATTTTACATAAATACTATTCGATGCTTTATTTTACTACAAAATAATGTGAACCAGTATACTATAAAGTCAAGAAAGATAATGGGTTTTATACTCAATATCATTGTATGATGTCTATATGTATGCTTTGGGGTATTAAGTGGGCTTCTTTTTTGTTTGCGTCTATGGTTGAAAGGTTCGTTAGCTTTACATAGTACTTAAATTTTAGCAAGGTGATCATTTACCTAACAATAAAGCATATACATCGCATACAATTGCTAGCAGAGATACTACGGTTTTTATTTATGCCAAGAACTATACTTATTACACTGGGTCGTAGCTCTTATAATAATGAGACAAATCGTAATCACAGTTAAGCAGTATATCTTGATTTGCACTTTTTGCATATGAGTTTTTTAAAAAGTATATAAGCTTAATTAGTCGTGAAATTCGTGATATCAATTGTACAATTAAATATTTATGTATCATGTGATATTTAAAAGTAAATTCCAATAAGATATCATCAATGTAATTATAAGCAGCCCTTTTTAGAGTAAAAGGTACTTTGTCACGAACATTTCCGGCATTTTAAAAAGGTAAAATGGATACACTTTTCAAACCGCCGATTTACAAAAACTACTTATATGATGTTGAAAATAATTTCAGTAGAACTTCACAGATGGTTTAAGTTTGTAAAAAGACTAACAGTTTTGCGTTTTTGCGAATCTGTATTTTTTATAAAATTTTGATAGGGGTGTAAATTCTAACTGAGAATGGCCGAATATTGCCTCAAATAATCATTCGCAAAGAGTCTCTTAACCCTTTTTTCTAAAGAAAGTGTAGGGAAATATTTAGTGTTGTGAAATCTTTCGATAATTTAGTAGTGTTCGTTTACAATACGCATGCGCTGTAAAATTGGAGTAAATCAATATGGCGGAAAATAGCCCCGGATAATATTTTCTCAAAATTTGAAGAAATTGCGGTAAGTATCTTGAAACGTTTGTGACTAATAAGTAAATTATTTTTTACTTAAATGAAATGTTAACATAACAAGTCAAAAACAATTAACTAGCTTAGGTAAATTACCAATGTTTTATCAATTGAAAACGAAAGTTGGATTTTGGGGAATTTCCGCGTGAGGCTAATAATCTTAAATATCAACACACATTAATTAGACTTTTATTAAGCTCTTCCTTAAATGAATTTATAATATTGATTAATAATTGCAACAGCTAGTCCTATTGTATGGGGTATGATTATTAAAATGTGTGTGTACCCACACGTGCTTGGTTCCCTGTTCCCGGTGATTTTCAATAAGTAGGTCCACACCATGTCACGTTGCTTTATATATAAGCTGCTTACTAAACAGTGAAAAAATTTGTCCCTGCAGCAAGTTGTATTACCATATTATTCACTGTTAAAAATTAGGCTCTTCCATTATCCACTGGAGAGTTCAAATTTGCGAAACCTTTATCGAATTTTAAACCTTCGTTATTGTCGCCTGCACTGAATTTTATTTTGTACATCATTTCTTTCGAAAAGAAGCTTACCAAAATCTGCTTTTTTTGTTACTTAAACAGCCTAAATGCTTGCTTTTAATTATACAAAGGGAATAACAATGACCAGTACAAGTTTTAGTCAGAAAATTTTAGTAGTTTATTGTGTCGCTGAAATTATCTAATTAAAAAAACCTTCGTTGTTGCCAATTTATATAGTCTTTCAAATTATAAATATTTTGATTATCGAGGAACACAACATAGTAATAAAGCTATTAGAGACTAGTGTACACGACAGGACCACAAGCAGGTATGTTTTGCACTTAAATGGCAAACACTGGTCATCGTAAATAATTAGCATTTCTTCAAAAGTAATAACGTAAAACTTTCGTGATCTTAAAAAATAGTAACGTATCCTAAAGATATATCCTGACACCTTCTCATATCAACCAATATGTCACCTTGGTGTAGTAAGAGCGAAGACAATGTTTAAAACATTGTTATACATTAAACTAATCCGGATCATAAATTGAGTTTAAACCTTCGTAATTTAAACTTTCGTTATCATAATTCAAATTTGCCGCGGAATTTGCATAAAATTACTGTGACATCATTTCCAGTGACGTCATATCGGAGTGTCTACTTACCGGTAACTGAAATCACTGAAAACCACCGAAAATATTACTGGAATTTTCTTCTAGAATTGTAAGTATTTTTACCTTAGTTTTCAAAAGAATTATTTTGTGAAATGGTCGTTTTGAAATATATTTAATTTTGTAATTATTAGCGCAATATCATGATTATTTAGTTTATGAATGAAGATGATGATGATTTGTCTCCCTTTGGTATAAAACTCGTGTTGAAATCTTTCAAACCTTCGTTATCGCATGATAACGAAGGTTTTATTTTATTTCTTGTGATAAAAAATCAAGTTATACTTTGTGTATATACATCAAACATAAGTTTCTAAAACATTTATAATAGACATATCAAACGGACATTATAACAGCCTTTTTAAATTGCTCTGCAATATATTTTAGAATAAAACATTATAGAACATGTTTAGAATCTAGGTATTCATCTTGCTCAACTGATAATTTTATTAATTTCAATCATATCCGTTTACTTTATTTACAATTTCCGATGTTATTGCAAAGAATTATATTGTAAGTGATCTTTTGTTGTACATAAATAAAGCCTTAGTGTCCCTTATCATATTATGTTATGATAACGAATGTTTCACGAACATAACGAAGGTTTTAATTTCTTTGCAGGTAAATATCTTAATATGGGAAAGAGTAAAGCAGAAATCCAAAGGGCCTATCGCCAGCCTTAAAGAGGAAAACAATGAAGAATACCTGAGGCGGGAACGTGAGAGAATGCGCCGTAACTATGTACCTTCATCTGAGCTCTCAGACAGAGACAAGAAAAGAAGAAACGAGCAAAATAGAGCTAAATTAAGAAGGTTTTACCAACGCAAGCGTGAAGAGCGACAACGGCAGGTTGCACCACAAGAACAAGACACAAGTGGGTATGATAGTGCTCCAAATGACAGTTCAGAAAGAGGTCGTCTGAGAGTACGAATCCCATTTCAAAACAACAGGAGAAAGGGTGCACTTATTAGGTGGAAACGAGAATTGTCAGAGGCCACCTCTCGCATTAGACTTCTTGAACAAGAAAGATCCAAGCTTCTGAAAAGATACAAATCTACTCAAAGATCATTGCAGCGGATGAAGAATAAAAGTAAAAATCAACATCTAAGTCAAGAATTAACACCACGAAAGCAGACAGAACAAGAAATGCAGATGGCAAACTTATCTAACAGTCAGAAGCAAAAAATTAGAAAGTCACTGTTGCTTGGAAATGTCATTGTCAGCGAGGTCAAACGTACAAAAGAACAAACGCCGAAAGGAACTATGAAAGCTGTACATAGAGTCATCTCCGGAAAGATAGCCAAGAAATATAAATGCATCAAATTACTGTCATTAAAGACTGGCCTCTGTCGACATAGACTTGGAAAAAGCGAAAGTAAGCTCCACCAAGTAGCAAGATCATCGAGAAAGAGCACACTCGGGAGATATCAGGAGAGAGTAATAGAGTTTTTTAAAAGAGAAGACAATAGTAAGCTTCAACCGGGAAAGAAAGATGTGAAGAAAAGTGAAAGTGGTGAAAAGAAACAATTATATATTCTTTCTGATTACCTATCAAATTTGTACAAAAAGTTTCAATCAGAAAATCCTGATGTTGATATATCTTTCACTTCATTTAGTCGATGCAGACCCAATTATATTTTGTTAACCTCATTTTCAAGCCGCAGTTCATGCTTATGTACGAAACACCAGAATGCTGCTTTGTCGGTAAAGCTGCTAAGAAAGGAGGGTATAGATGTATCAGCAAACCCAGAAAGAGCAATTGAAAATTTTCCAACTAAAGATGACCTTGATAAATCGTTGCCTGCGTCAATTGTATGGAGTCAGTGGAACAGAATTGAAATAGAAGAGAAAGGCAGGAAAAAGATGGTAACCAGAGTAACCGAATCAAAAGTCAACAGAGAGCAGTTTTTGGTCAAACTAGAACAACAAATGAAAGATTTCGAATCTCACGTGAAAAGGGTTGCAAAACAGTATGAAGAGATAAAGAGGCTTAAGCAGAATTTGCCAAAACATGAGATACTGTTGCAGCTGGACTTCGCAGAAAATTATAGTTGTAGATCTCTAGAAGAAATCCAGAGTGCATACTTCAATCAAACAAGTGTTACCTTCCACCCAGTTGTTGCATATTTTCGAGGCCAAGATGATACACTTCAACATCAAAGCATAATTATCGTGTCCGATGAGATGGGACACAAAGCGTCAACTGTAGTAACTTTTATCGATGAGTTGCAACCCATTCTTAAAGAAATAGATGCCAATATTACAACAATACACTATTGGAGTGATTCACCAACCAGTCAGTACCGCAACAAACATATATTTGATCTTTTATCTTACCATGAACAGCGGTATGGTACCAAGGCTAGATGGAACTATTTTGAAGCCGGCCACGGCAAAGGGCCGTGCGATGGTTTAGGTGGGTCTTGCAAGAGACTAGCCGACGAAGCTATGAGAAGTGGCAAAGCTATTATCCAAGACGCCACTGATTTCTACAAATGGGCTATCAACTCAAGTATGAAAAATGTCCAATTTAGATTTGTTTCTTCTGAAAAGTGCAGAGAAACGGAAATACGAATTCAGAGTAATCCAGTCAAACCTGTCAAAGGGACTATGAGGATTCATGCAGTGATTGGCCAAGGAGAGTCTCGAATCAAAGTCAGGGAGGTTAGTTGTTACTGTACAGATTGTTTAGTAGGTGGCTCTTGTGATGCTTGGGATGATGAATTCACTAGGACCCAAATAGCGGTCAATAATAACAGTGGAAATACAGTTTGTGCTCAAGAGGAGAAAAATAATGAAGATGCAAATGCCGAAAATAACAGACATGATGAAGCTAGAAATGTAGAAGTAGAAAAATGTACACAAGATATGGTGGAAATGAAATATGAAATAGATGATTATGTTGCTTCTGTATATGAAAATAAGTGGTTTATTGGCGTGATAGTTGATAAAGATGAAGAAGAGTATGAAGTTAAATTTATGGAAACCAAGAAGCAGTTCTTTCAATGGCCTAGAAATGAGGACATTGTTTGGCAGAAACCTTGTGAAATATTAACAAAAGTAGATGCCCCAGAAGCTACAGGAAAATCAAAAAGAATGTTCAAAATTAGTGAATATGATAGAGATCGTATTTTGAGTCTTTATGCATTATATAATGAAAAGTAGTGATGCCACTAAACCTTCGTTATCAACAAGACTGTTTGTGTTAAATTTGTCATGTAGTTTGACATATCATGATATATTTTGTAGCCATGTCGCACAAATATGTTTAAACGTGATTGGCGATGACTATTAGAACTACCGGAAACTTATCCATGTGACTTAAATGATGTATTATGTTATTTTCTGATTCTAGGGAAACCTTCGTTACCATAAGTGTTTAATCGTTGTCTTGATGAGGCGATCCTATTGCATATCTAGATTATTAGATTGTGTTTAATGGTTTTAAATGAAAAGGAAATAATCTAAGAAACACTTTGTTAGACTATATCGGTTCACTATTCTGACTTTTAATGTTTGTTTTCATGAATGGCTACTATTCAATCAGTGAATTTATGAAATACTATAGACAATGCTATGAACAAATATTCATAATATAAATTTTTGTATAAATCATTTCTGTATCTGTTCATTCTTGTGTTGAAAATTAAATAGATCTTCGATCAGATTTAAAACATTTTTGTATTTTTATTAATCAAAACCTTCGTTATTTTTTTGGTGAATTATTAAGGATTGGCCACGTATGTTAGATATATGTGGACTTTGCGAAAAGTTGGTTATTTTGTTTTCTACATCGAATTAAAAAGTTGCATTTGTGTTTATATGCGATGACTTCAACTAGAATATACGGTCTGAAAAAAGAATTTGAAGCATATATATGATTTTATTTATTTATGTTGCAACCTTTTTCTAATGCAAACATATTATTAGAAATTTATTCTTCGGTCTTGGTCAGTTCGTTTAGTACTTAAAAAAATAAATATTGCTATATTAAACGTTTATGATAATGTTAAGTTTAGCAAAGTTTTCAAAAATATTATATCAAATAAGTGTACATTATACATCATAGGGCTCTAATAACGGAGGTTTATACGTAATAAATTAAGTCTTCAGCCACCTATGTTTGAGAGATCATTACACGAAAACTGCGAGAGTGTTGTATACAAAACTTTCAGATATTGTCATAGGGTGGTATATGAATGTCTTAAAACAAATATTGACTAAATCAGGAAAGGTCGAATTTTTAAATATATTTTTTACCCCATGGACCTACTTGTTGAAAATCGGTGTCCGCTCTTTGTCAATGGATTTTATCATGTAATTGACCAAAGACAATGGATATATATACAAATGTATATTGTTGTTTTTGCCCCAAAAAAGGCTCATATCACAAAGTTATTAGTAAGTAAGTTCTTTATTTTTTATTTTATCTTTATATATTTTATACTTATTTCAATTTAAGTGAAAGTGATATAACTAATTGTAGCATATTCCTTCTATTGAAGTGTGTGAACCTTTTCGTGAATTTTCCTTTGATATGTATTGAACACAAACTGAATACAAACTGAACTGGCAACACAAAGCATGTGATACCTGTAAGTTTACTTAATAATTTGTTAGCAACATTTTTTAAGTATATAAGGAAATACAAATTGTTCTTTTTTATTTATTACATTAATGGATAAATAAATAATTAATTAATTCATTTATATTCTTTTATATTCATATTATTTTAGTTATTTTCAAACAATATTATTTATTTTACATACACTATTATTTATTTATTCATCTATTTCATTTTCATACAATTATACCTTTTTAATCCAATTTATAATCTAATCAATTATGAGATAACTGTTAAATAAACAACCAATCAACAAGTTGAATAAGCAAGGTGACATGCAATAAACACTTATAATGGATGTGCTTTGTATAACAGTGAGCAATACGATGATCATGAATTAAGGTCAAGGACTGAGGAGTTCTTGGAGAAAGTGGGTGAATTTATGGACATTTATAAAATGTGGTTTTAGAACCAGTAAAATGCTGTTTTATTGCATGTTATATGTAAATGTTTTAAAGATATTATTACATGTGTAATAACATGTGTTATTTGTTTCTGAATTATTTACTAAACAAATATTTACTCTTAGAAATGTCTGTAAATTGTCCTTTAATTAAAAAATCATGAATAAAATGATACTTAAAATAATTAAAATAAACACATGATATAAAAGCATTTTTAAGGCTTATTTTAGAAAAAATTGGATGAGGGGTGACGTGTCTTACTGATTTTGGGGGGTGAAGTGTCTTGAGGGGTGAAGTGTCTTCAAAATTTGAGGGGTGAAGTGTCTGGAGGGTGAAGTGTCTTGCTACCCTTGGTTCCCTGTTCCGCTCTTTGTCAATGTATGTGAAACGGAAGCCGGAGAATACTTCCGGTGGGAATTACCTTCTAAAAATATCGTCTACATGTAGGATATTTCTTTAAATACAGGCTCATAGGACTAAGTTCGACTCGTGGAGGATAAAACCATTTAAAAGTATGTAAAATCCAGTTGTTTGCATGTGTGTTCGACCCGCTTGATCTCTTTGTTGATGTATTTCAAGCGTAAATACCAGCTTACAATGTACATGTCATGACGGTCTCATCTTTCGGACCTGGGTGATTTCTTACTTTCGGGCTTTATAACATTAACTAGCGGTTAATTGGGGATCTGTAAATAGTAAATTGAAAATTGATAATAGAAAAATATATTGTGCATTGATTCCATGCAAAAATCCGACGATATTACCGCCCGGTGAAAAATTTTAACACAGATAACCGGCGTACCCATAATTTTCGTACCTGAATGTTGCATACCTTGTCAATAATAATATAACAGTGAAAAAATTTTTTTTTTTTTTTTTTTTTATATATTGATATTTTATTGTATAAATATAACAAGGTCAAACACATTTTTAGGTCAAATCAATGCAACTAGCACCTGTGTGTGTACCGAAAACGAAAGTAGAAAAATGGCAAATTATCTCCCCTTTGTTTATACATTTTATTGAAAAATATAAGCAAATAATAATAAGAAAATAAAGGGGAAATATACCCCTCTTAATAAACACATATGAAATCAAATCGAACTTTATTGAGTTATAGACCACCCGGCCATACACATATAAAAGATTTATAATACAAAATATACATCTGTGGATGCTACATATCAGACATGGTAAAGACATAATAGAAATATATAGAACAAAATGTCAACAATTATCATAGAAATAGAATTAGTACTAATTATCTAAACATAGATATATGAATAATCATGTTCTTTAAGCGCTACATTTATCAAAGAAAAGTATAATTACTAATTATAAATGCGATAAATGTGGTGAGTCGTTGGAACAAATCTTCGGGTCTCTCTGTAGGATCATATCGGATAGAATCAAAGTCAATAAAATGGCCACCAGTAATTTGGAAACCATAGTGGAGGCGGATTGTTTGCCAAATATCACCAACAGAGGTAGAGTTTTTAACAATAGTGTTTCTGGATATTACTGGACAAAAATTTGCTATCTGTCCTAACATCAACTCAAGAATGTTGACCTTTTACTCACGGGTTTTCCTGTCAGCTTCGGCTACATCCTCACCGTCATTCACAAAGCCTCTCAGTCTGTGAGGTGCAGTTTTGGTCTTTTTCTGCCATTTAAGCCCAGCCACGAGAAAGGGAGCAAAGTTCTTGTCTACAGAAAGGCTGTAGATTAAGTTTTGTCTCCAGTTTTCAAATGAGTTTACAGTTTCATGATTGGTAAGGCACCATTGTTTTGGGCGCGCGGGTAGAATTTGCCATTGTCAATGTTTGTTTAATACACTTTGCGTTTCACGGTAGTAATTCTATTCCGGGGGT